ACGAGGACAAGAGCTGGTCTCGTGCGGAGAATTACGGCCGCGACATCATCGAGGACGTCAACAACTTTGTGGTCGGCTGGACCGACTGGAACTTGGCTCTGGATACCGCGGGAGGCCCCAACTGGGCCGAGAACTTCGTGGACGCGCCCATCCTGGTGGACGAAGAGGGCGGCGCCGAGTTCTACAAGCAAGCCGATGTTCTACGTCATGGGTCACTTGTCCAAGTTCGTCCCTGCTGGCTCGCGTCGCGTCGACTTCCCCAAGTCCAAGACGCTCAGTAACTTCCACCGCACGGCGTTTGTGACGCCAGACAAGAACGTGGTGCTGCAGTTCTTGAACCGCGATAACTCGGACGTCACGGTCAGTGTCAAGCAGACTGACGCCAAGACCTTCACGCTCCAGCTGCCGGCGCACTCGATGCAGACAGTCATTCTCCCTGCCTCGAGCGCTACGAAGATCCAGTCGTAACGGTGGACATGAGTGCTATAAATCATCGTTGTTAATAGTAGTACTGAAGATTCTGCCGATTAATGAAAAAAATGCAGTTTGATTTCAATGAACTAAGCCCGTTTGTCGCACTAGCCGATTTTTATGGTAATAATTCTCGTTTTAGGCTTCCCAGTAATCAGATCACCTGACACGGGAAAGAAAGATGCCAGGTATTCTTTACACCAACAGCGAGTCTTGGCTTTTGACGAGGTTAGTCTGGGAGCGCTTGAATCTTATAAATTAAATCCGTAATGGCATGATCTACTTACTGTATGTATTTCGGTTGATGGAGCAAAACCATTATTTATTGAACTACTAGTACCGATTTACACTTCATCAGATAATTTATTGCGGAGTTTTATTCTCATTTATACTACCTCCGTTCTGAAAAAGATAACCATTTCAAATTACATTACAGCCTACCCAAAACTATAGCCTCTCTATGCCGATCTCTTTTTGGATTTCGAATCTCCCGCGCTTTCCCCCAGCTTTCATTTTGAAAGCTGGCACCTGGGGGAGATCACAGACAGTGAGCGCCAGGCCGTCTGGGAGACCTTACTGCTTCGCAGCGTGGGAGAAGTGGTCAAACATGGAGAGATCGTTCGGGTTGCAGCGTACTTCCGTGTGGGCCGCCAAGTTGTCGAACGAATTTGGAGGCGTGGAATCAATTCGATGGGAGATCGAGTAGCAGCCGTGGTCAAGTCAAGGAAGAGCGCATGTGGTAGGAAGAAGGTGGTTCGAGCTGAGCTGTGCGAGAGAATCGCTGCAGTTCCTGTCAATGAGCGCGAAAACCAGCGTCTGCTTAAGCGCGCGTCCAACATGAGCTGCTACCTGGTTCAGCAGCTGATCAAGGAAGGCTACATACGGCGTGCGCTCAGACAGACCCGCCCACTACTTACACCCACGCACAAGTTGGCGCGCCTCCGGCACAAGGACAAGCAAGTACGAGCTGGCACTCTCCCTACGTCACTGCCTTGTGACGCTACCTTCACTCGACCAATGCTAACGCGTACATGCCTGCTTTCTTGGCAGCG